CAGGTACTGTGCTAGGCTCTTTCATAAACCTCATCTTATTTAACCCATCCAGGGAGGTAGAGATTGTAACCCCTACTTACAGATGAAAAAAGTGAGGGTCAGAGAGGTTCTCTGTCTTATTCAAGGTCCTGAGCGAATAATAATAAGGGCCAGTATTTGAACACTGGACAGTTCATGGCTCTTTATCTTTCCCTTCCTGCTCTCCTTGCCAGTTCTCCAAAAAATGATTTAAGAAGTTAAATCAAGAACACTCTCTATTCTTATAGAGTGTGGATATTTCCTTTGAGGAACAATAATTCAAGATAGTTAAGGTATTTTCCAACAAAAAAAAAAAGGATTCAGGACAAATACACTCAACTGCCATCTCTCTTCACTGGGTCCAGCTGGCTAGCTAGGGTGCATTCTTAGTCTCTTTATTTACACCATGTGAACCCAGTGGGATCAGAGTGCAAGGCTGTGCCACAGAGGCTACAAACAAATGGTCAATTCACTTGCACATGTGCTTCACTGGATCCACAGAGTAGTTAAAAAAATTGAACCAACTTTCTAAAATCCATAGATTTCACATAAAAATTCACATTTTACAGCAATCAGAAGGTCCCTCAAACCTAGGCCCACCTTTATGGCAACAGTCAGCCAAAGATTAGTGGTCCCAATCCTTTCAATGAGGAATGACCTCATGAGTTTCCCACAGCCCCCACCATTCTTGATTCTATCCATATACCAAGGCCCCTGCAGCTGTAATTTTTCATTATGTTTCTGTTATTGTTTATCTTATAATAGAGAAATATTTCTCCAAACTTTGTCTCTTTTAGTAGCTTGAATGATTGGTCTCAATTCTTCACACCTCCGTGTATCTGCCCTGTTACAATGATCTCTTTGTGGGTGAAGTGTACTTCCCCAACCCTTGACTATTAGCTCAACCATGTGCCTTGCTTTGGCTAATGAAGTGGAGTGAAAATCACAGTGTCAGTTTAAGATTAGGCCTTATGAGGCCTTACATGTTTTTACTGACTCTCTTATGCCTCTGCTATAGTCATCAGAAGAGTTTTCCCTGGGTTGCTGGTGCCTATTCAGCCAGAGTCTCAGAATAAACACGTGTGGAACAGAGATGCCCCAGCCACCCACAGCCAGGCAGTGAGAAGCAAACATACCCACCCAAGCCCACCCCAGAGCAGCTGAGCCACTCAGTCAACCTGAAAATCTGTGAGAATAACTACTGATGCTTTAAAGTCACTGAGTTTGGGGGTGATTTGCTACACAGCATTATTATGGCAATTGCTAACTGATACATATCTACAAAAATAAAAAATAAAAGACAGGCTGAAAGAACCAGACACCACAATTTTTCTTACACGCAAATCTGTTTCTTATTTATGTTACCAACCTAGACCCTGAGGGCATTTGAGTTTGCAATTCCTGCCATAAAACTATAAACTTAAGAACTAAAATTCAGGTTTGTGAAACGTTTCTTAGCATGACTATATATCTAGGTTTGATTGAAATGGCCCAGTTTTTGCCTATTGCTATGTCCTGATTTGGACAATAAATAACATGGTCACTCTAACTACATGCAAATTTGTCTCTGATTTTCATACCAAGTGGTTGAATCTCTTCAATCTCTCTGTGGAGCCTGATCCAACAGCTATTATTGTTGCAGGCAATACTCTACCTGAGACTTTTCTGCAGGTAATACCTATTTGTAAAACCTATCTGGATGTAATACCTGGCTGAAATCATGAAGTCAGGGTGTCCAACCATTACAAAATACTGGTGTAGAACAAGTCAAATTCAGTAGGTGCCAATCTCACAACTACCAACCAATCAACCAACCAGCCAACCAAACCAGATCCCAGTTGACTGACACTTAAAAGGCTTAACAGGCTAACTTATAAACAGGAAGTACTTAAAACAACAGCAATATTAAAAAATCAAATGTCCCCAGAAAGGAAAGTCCTGTCTTCAGAAGGCAGTAATTATTGCATCTGAGTATATCTGCTTAGCAATCCAGGAAAGTTGGAGATTCACTCTCTAATAACTTAACTAGAGACATTTCATCAAAATTAATCGTAATTACTTTTTACTGCATTTCAAATTCTGTCTTTTATTTGGGGTGGTCAGGAATGCAACTAAGCAATTCCAGACCATGCTATCTTTTACGTATAGGTCTATGAGGTAGTTATCAAGGCCCCTTATAAAAATATTGCCATACAAAAGTTCATGAGCCAAAACAAGACATTAATTTCTATAACTAGATGTGTCCTTAGGAAAGAAAAAATTACTATATATAGAAAATATAGAAACTTTGATGGTCAATGCACATCAAAGTAGAACTCTATAAATACCTATGCGTATATCAGACAACTTTTTAAAAATGTTTCTTTTACCTTTTCCTTGTTATTATAATAACAGTTAATCATTAACACTTATTTTGAGCATAACTTGTGCCAAGTACAATTCTAAATTTTTTATATGCATTGACTCTTTAATCCTCACAACAACTCTGGAACAGATACAATTATTATTACCAATTCATAGATGAGGAAATTGAGGCTTAGGGAAGTTAAGTAATCTGCCCAAGGACGTTCAGCTAGTAAATTCTGAAGCTTGGAATGAATCCTAGGCATTCTACCTCCAGAGTCAGTTAAAGAAAGGTAACAACAACACGTACCTCACTGCCACCATGATCAAGTGGTCTGTTACATTTTGTGCCCTGATCATATCTTGCTCAAAGCAACCTCTGTACCTTTGCTGATAGTTCTCCTGTCTAGAGAGCCTTCCCTTCTACTCTATCCCTCCCATTTCAAACTCATTTAGCTCCAATCCCAGCAGTTCCATGAAAACTCGCTGCCACTCCACATTTTTCTTGCCTTTCTCTCTTAATTCTCCAGAACTCTCACCATCTAAAGATAGTCAGATCAGAGTTTGAGTCCTGGCCCTGCCACTTATTACCTAAGTAATTGTGGGCAAGTTATTTGACCTCTCATAGCCTCCTTCTTCTCATATACTGAATGGAATAATAGTTAAACTATAGTGGATCTCTGTGGTTTTACCTGCCCAGCACCCCTTCTGGTAACAGAACTCTTGTCTTTCTTGTGAGAGGTCACTTGGCCTTACTCTTAGCCCATCTCCCCTAGGTACCAGGTGATCACATGACCTAATCCTGGCCTGGCCAATTTATGCAATCTATCAGCCTTTGATCTTTTTCTAGAACTACTAAGAAAGACCTTTTCTCCTCCCCTCAGGGTGACTGCACTCATAGAATGTAAGCTGGCTGCTGGTGGCCATTGTTGGCATCACCAGGGTGCTGGTGGACACTCTTCCAGAGAATCAAGACAACAAAATGCAAAGCACACCTGTGAGGAGGATGGAGACAGATTCCTGATGCCATAGTTTGAATATCTGAATGTAGTCAGGTCCCAAGTCCACCCCTGGCCTTTTCAGTTAATTGAGCCAACAGATTCCCTTTTTGACTTAGTTCAGATTGTGTTCCTGTCACTTGCAACTAAGAGTCCCAACCAACCCAGATGACATAAAAATTAAATAGCTGCTATAAAGTACATAGCATAGTACCCAGTATGTTGAAAAGTTCAATAAATGGTACCTACTACTGTTAATTTTCCTCTACATTAGTTTCTTGAAGGCAGGAAAACCTGGAGTCAGGTCTGTCTCCACTGCTTACTAGGATGTCACTTTATAATTTTTCTGACACTCTAGTTCTACCATATGTAAAATCAACAAAATTATTGTGAGGAATAAAGGAGAATACACGCCTGGCAAGGCAATAAAATGTTCTGTAAATTTTATTTATTATTATCTCAGTCTGTAGGTTCCAATCAAATATTTCAAATGACTGATGGGGATACTAAGACCCAAAACCCTGGGGCATGATTTGCCAAGAACATCGAGGAAGCTGTGGATTCAAATAAGCTACCAATCCATTTTAAGGTGGTCCCAGGACCAAACAAAGGACCTGATGCTACTATTGTGCCATCCAAATCAGGCATTGATGCAAAGGGGCTTTACTGACACCATAAAGGCACCTCGAGGACACAGAGAAAAAAGAAACTAATATTGACTAAGTAGCCCCCATGTGCCATGCTCTGTGCAAAGCATTTCCTTATATTTCCTACTCTGGAATAATTGCTTATTTCTCTTATCGTCAATTAAAAAGATGATCTATGAGTACATATTAAAATTATCTAACTTCTTCTATCTCTAAGGAGGAAACTTAATATATAACTGGAGAAAGACACTAATTAATAAGCAAAATTTAACATGAACTCCAGCCAAGTCGAACTTGAACTGTTCCGTTTAAAGGCAGACTGGAATAAATAATGGAACTTCAAAGCAAATGCCCTGTTTTAGCTTGAATGTTTTATTGAGCACATGGGGAGTACTCCACTGCCAAAAATAGGGATGGTTAATGAGGAAAAATTGGTGTTTTCAGTCAGTTGGTTGGTTTGTGAGATAGGGCCATCTACTCAGAGATAACTATATTCCACAGAAAAGACAGAATAATGATCTGTCTCAAAGCCTCAGAGTTTTGAAGAAAACAAAACCAGTTTTGTAAACTGTCTGAGATCAGCTTAATGCATCCTTTTCCAAATACCTTCTGTGATAATGTGCACACAGATCCCTTCTACTAACACCAAAACAGCTTAAATTTAATTCTAAAAGGAAGACATTTCCATGTTTCAAGCTCTATGCCAACTATATAAATGCAGCCCTTACCTCTTAACGTGTGATACAGGAACCAAAAGACTCTGTGCGGCATTAGTAGGCTCCACCATAATCAGCTTTTCTTGGGCACCATTTTGAAAATGATGCTCTGTAATCAGAATGACATATGGGGTTCCCTGAGAGTACATTGTTAGTGCTGGACTCAGAGCAAAGGCAAGTCCACCATTTCTGTGCATATTTTCCTACAGCAATGAGTACATTTCTGAGAGAGTCAATCTCCAATTATTTAGGAATTAAGAGGAGAAGGTTGGGCTCACCTGCAAATGCTGCGAATTGTCAGCCATGCTATCTTCTCGCCTGCGAACCTCTTCCAGTAACTGGGCATTCTTCTTCTTTTCCAACTGTTGATTGTGCTTGAGGTTGGCCACCTTCTTATTCTGATCCTTCATATGCCTGAGAAAAGTTGGCACAGCTTGGTTAAATTCAACCACTGGAAGATCATATGTTATCACAATAGAAGTACTAAGTATAGAATATCTAAGTACTAAGTATGAAATATCTTGAAATGGATTCAGGAACAGTTGGGGCCTCAGAATATTCCATTCATTCAACCACAAATATGTTTTGAGCACTCAGGTGCCAAGATGGCACTGGGGCTGCAGTGGTGAATGAGACAGGTATAGTCTTTACCCTCCTTATGGAGCTTGGAGTCCAGTGGGGAAGACAGACAAGTACCAAGGAGACACAACTCAGGTTTCCTAATGTTGAAGGAAATAAATACCACGTTATGAGAGATGATGATGTGCACTGCATGTGTGAACAGGCATTGGGGTGGGGGAGATGACTTTAGTCACTGTGGCCAGTGAAGGCCTCCCTAAGGGGGCAAGACTATGGGTGAGACTTGAAGGAGCCAGCCAAGAAAACACCAGTGGAGGAGCTCCCCGGGTAGAAAGAACAGCAAGTGTAATTGCCAAGGCAGGAAAGAACTCAGCTACTTCTAGGAACTGTAGGGCTGCAGTGAGGTTAGCCCAAGGTGAGAGGGGGGGAGTGAGGAAGGAGATGGGACTGCAAAGGAAGGCAGGACTTAGGGCACACAGGGCCCTGTGGTCTGTGATGCAGCATTTATTTTCTTCTAAGTGGTTGCTGTTCTAATTATTATTATTATTCTGGATCATGTTCCTATTCTGAGATCATAATCCATTACTTTGATTTAAAAATAACAATTACACATCTCCAATCAAATACATTGTCATCACTTAGCTCAAACAGAATAACACTTTGGCTAATCATCATGGTTAAATAAAGCCCCAGTGCTTGGAATAAAAGTTCTTAATGAATCTATAGGATGTCAAAGTGCAAAATCATAAAGTGATCAAGTGAGTAAAAACTAGGATAAAGGATGAGTTAAAAAAAAAGGGGGCGGGGGGTAGTTACAGGCCTAATGCACACTATTTCACCAACAGCGTTTAGCAAAACATTCCACAGATTTAGGCAACCATGTCCACAGCAGCTGTTACAAATCTAATCCCACACGTGAGGAGACAGAAGGGCAGTACAGGGGGCTCGGGAGCAATGATTCCAAAAGAAGAGAGTGGCGGAGCAGAATTATTTGGGGTTCTTTCTAATCCCTTCATCCCCTCTCCCCAACATTGCTAAGTCAGCCAATGTTACTGAGCCCTGACTCCCAAAACAAGCGTACTGAGCGTCACTGCTCTTGTGGAAATGTAAACGAGATGAGAACTAGATAATAAAGAGCACATATGTCAAACTGAAATAATCAATAAGCAAATGGAAGCCACTCTCAACAAGAAACTCTTATTTCTAGTCCTCATAAAATTATATACTCCCTCCCACTCCAAGAAAACAAAGTTCAAGAGAATTGTTTTATTAAGCTGAATAATCTTCTATTTAGGAATCCTGCTAATAAAAATATTCTGAACACTTTGGTTCCCCATAAATATTTACAGAACCAACTGAAGCTGTGACTTAAATATTACTGATGACACTTATTAAGAGGATATAAAGTGAGATAGAATAGCCACCTCAGTCATTATTTGGATTGGATAATTTTTGTCTGATATTTCCCTGTTTTTACTGGACACAGTAAAGTACACATACAAAACTACCAAAAGTCTACATGCTAATCTGCTTTTAGAACATTATCTTTTGGTTACTACAAAGATGTTGCAACCTCTTGCTTCCTAACTGAACAAGGATATAGAAGTACCAAAGCCCACCCCAACCCGGGGCAAGTGCATATTCCAGTTCCTTAGGAAATCAGGTCAGTGCTCAGCAATAGGATCTGATGGAGAGGTCAGTATTATTAATGAGATTGTTTAATTAGAGCACATTGTTATAAAAAAATACTTTTTTATAACTTTAAAGCACACAGTTAAATAAAACCAACTACTAAACGTTTTTTCCCCCAAGTACCAGTGATAAAATAGATTATTACTGCAAACATTATTTGCATAGTTAAAGAACTCCCACAAGGTTCTCGGAGCAGTCTGAACATATTAGACCTTACTTTCTGGGATACTCAGCATTCTCCAATCCAAAAAGGGAAAACAAACTCCAAATCCATGCATCCCTTAAAGCTTTGCTCAATTAAGAATAGCTAAGGGGGCCAGCCCAGTGGCGCAGTGGTTAAGTGAGCGTGCTCTGCTTTGGCAGCCCGGGGTTCGTGGGTTCAGATCCCAGGTGTGCACCGACATGCGGCTTGTCAAGCTATGCTGTGGCGGTGTCCCATATAAAGTAGACAAAGATGGGCATGGATGTTAGGCCAGGGCCAATCTTTCTCAGCAAAAAGAGGAGGATTGGCATCGGATGTTAGCTCAGGGCTAATATTCCTCACCAAAAAAAAAAAAAAAGAGAGAGAGAGTAGCTAAGAAAAATGAGAAATTGAAGTTCAGACACTGTGATGGAGGCATATCTTTAGCATTCTCCAACCATTCCTTCAAATATTGCCTTACTTAGGACACCAGTGATTAGAAAAGAAAAGTTGGGTTTTGAATGGCACTGCTTAGGATTTAGGCCTATTAGATGGATACAAAGCAAGGTGATGAAAAGGATCATCTTGTCTTTGTACATGTGAATATCAAGAGATGCATATAAACTGTATATACTCCTTTGCAGCAGTGCTATGGTTTTCAAATACATTTCTAACAGTAGAATTCTTTCTTCTAATAAAAGCTACTTGGAAGTTAAAAAGGGAAAGTAGAATTGCTCTGCCAGAGGTAGGAAAGATGTAAGGCGTGGGATGGGGTGGGAACAGGTGATCAGAGCCTCATCTACCAGATAATCCTTCTCTCAGGTGCCCCTCAGGGAAGCCCTAAGGCTACCTGAATCATAGGTTGTCACAGTAATTTATGGGGTAGGAGAAGAGAGAGGAAGGCAGGTAGAGAAGTCATGAAATTTAAAAACATGAGATCCCTTGGAGAAGAGAAAATACCCCCACAGATGCTCATTGGACGTTTATTGAAGAAATGACCATAGTACTATTTGCTAGTAATAATTTCATCATTTCCAAGAATAAAATCTGTAAGTGACCTATCAGTCCTTGTATCTCACCCCCCCCACCCCCGCAGAAGTCAACCCACACTGCATAAATCATGCCAAACTCAGTACAGCTTTCAAATGTCTCTAAACTTAGGAAGGCAGAGCCCCTAGGGGTGCAGACTGCAAAGCCCTCTGGCTATATTGCCTCAGAAGGTGTCATTGATACCCACTTCCCAAACTCCTACCCACTAGCTAACTCGGGCATTCCCAGGCTCCGCCAGAAACTGACCTACTCCATGTCCTGAAAAAACAGTTTCTGGAGTGAAATTTTTCTCCAGGGAAACACTATTAAAAATATATCCAAGATGCAAATATTCTAAAAAGCAATTATGGGGGCCGGCCCTGTGGCTTAGCAGTTAAGTGCGTGTGCCCCGCTACTGGCGGCCGGGGTTCGGATCCCAGGCGCGCACCGACGCACTACTTCTCCGGCCATGCTGAGGCCGTGTCCCACATACAGCAACTAGAAGGATGTGCAACTATGACTACAACTATCTACTGGGGCTTTGGGGGAAAAAACAAAAGGAGGAGGATTGGCAATAGATGTTGGATCAGAGCCAGTCTTCCTCAGCAAAAAGAGGAGGATTAGCACGGATGTTAGCTCAGGTCTGATCTTCCTCACACACACACACACAAAAAAAGCAATTATGGGATGGGGAGTGGATGGAGGTTAGTTGGAGGGTACAGCAGTAGGATCAGTTTTCAACATTCGACTTAAATTGACCAGTTTCACAAAGCAAGTCATGTCACTTTTCAAAATTCAGCCATCTTTAAGGAATTTGGATTAAATAAAAAAAAATCCCAACAGGTATCAAGACTATCATATTAAGAATGAATGTCAGAGAGGACAGAATCCTGCTATTTTCACTAGAATAGTCCATTAAATTAAAACTAAAAAGTGTTCTCTAACTTGCTGGTGAGAGAACATCAGGCATAGAGGCCTCTAGAATTACACAGCCCAGGAGTACAGGACAGAAGATGCATATGTTACTCCAAGGGCGTGTGTACATTTGTATATAAAGGAGAAAAATTAAAACTTCCTTTAAAATCTAGGCAGAAACAAGATGCCATTTTTCTACCTATCTGCTGTCAAAAACTTTCAAGATTGATAACATCCACTGTTGGAGAGGATGCAAGAATCCAGCTCTCTCATATGTGGTCAGGAGGAATGTAATTGACAAAAACATTTTTGGAAACCAATTTGGCAGTACCCACTAAAGTATACACACCTTTTGCTTAAGCAAACCCACTTCTAAGAAAGCAGCCTACGAAAATGCTTGCACACGTGTATAAATTTTCATTGTAGCACTGTAAAAGTGAAAATTTGCAAACTGCCTAATCATCTACTGAAGAAATCAAGCACACTCATACTATGGAACCCTAAGCTAGTTAAGAAGATTAAGGCAAAACTGAAGTATGGACATGGAAAAACCATCAAGACATATTGTTAATCAAAAAAGAAAGCAGGGAGCAGAATAATACATATAGTCTGATCTTATTTATGTTAAAATATAAAAGCCTATTTGGATGTATATATACACACATGCATGGAAGTGGAAACTCCTGGAAACCCCACACCCACACCATTGTTTACAGTCTTTAAACAATGGTTACTAGTGAGGAAGGGAATGGGGTTGGGGAAGAAGAGGGAGCTTTCACATGTTACTCTATGCATTTGTGTGTGTGTTTAAGTGAGGCATAAATACATACAAGAAAATGCATGCATACTAAGTGCACAAGTCAATGATTTTTGACCAATCAAAATATAAAGCATTGCCATCACCCAGCCTCATGGCCCTTCCCCTGCCCGGAAGTAATCACTATTCTAACTTTTATCTACATGGATTCATTTTGTCTGTTCTTGAACTTCATAAACATAGAATCATACACTACATGCT